CTGGAGCGGGGCTGCGCCCTCCCGGTGCTCCCGGCTATGCTGGGCTGGAGAGGCATGTTCGATGCAGACATCCATGGGTGATCAGACAGCTGTGATGAAGGATACGGACATGTCCGAAGAGATGCAGCAACATGCTGTGGAGTGTGCCATTTTGCCCTAGAGAAATACAGTGTCGAAAGAGAAATTGCAGCCCTTATAAAGAGGGTAAATGTTTGTAATATCCTTTTGTTGAACACTATCCACACCAGAAGTCAAGCAGGGTGGGTGTTGCTACACTTTTTGGAAAAGCAAGTTCTGTGGACACAAGGTACATTGGACTTTTCCTGTGTGCTGGTATCCCTGTGTTCCTTTTCCCACTACTTACATGTACCTTTCCTGGTTTTTGTTTTGCAATACCTTCTGTTTTTAATTGTTTTTTCATTATCTCATTGTCTAGCAGAATAGGAGAGTGATGGCTGGCCTCTCTCAGTATGACTGATTAGCTGGTAGGAAATACAGCCCTTTGAAATCTGCTGTAACTTTCCTCTGAGGGAATGCCTTTTTTTACCTAGTCCTTGACTTAAATTGTGTTCAGTTTAAGGTTCTGTGCAAAGGTCTGTAATAGTTGTGCAAGATTGGCTAGCTGGTTCAAAAATTTGCAGGGAAAAGTAATTTTCTGCACATCTTCTGTATTTGCATCCTCTTTTTATGTGCTGAACCATGCTAAAATCCCATGTCTTGGAGCACTGTTTATCTGGTGTCCACAGAATACCTGGTTTTATATATGCATGAAGAAGACTAACAGATGCACAAAAGATCTAGTTCTGATACGCTTTCTGCTTTGCTATCTCAGGAGAATAAAGAAATCTAAGGGTGCCAGTAGAGGTTAAATACTGCATGAATCTGAGTGGAAGACCTGTTTGAAAAGTCATTCAAATAAATGGTACAATTGCTTCTGTTGGGGAGGTCTTCCTTTCCTGTCACCCTAACAGAGGTGTAAGCAGGTTTATTTTTTCCACTTGTGAGAACGGCATTCTATGTTAGTGGAGAGCAGAGGGTTCAAGCTCGTCAGATTTTCCTGGAGGCTCCTAGTTGGAACCTGAGGAATTGTGGTGAGGAGGTAATTTATCCAGGGTCATAATAACTGATCAGAAATGCTTGCGTGCTCTCACAGAAAGTTTCCTCATTTGAGAGCTATTGGATGTGACAGTATATAATGACTGACTGGAATGTTCTGCTTTTAGTAGGGTTGTACATCTTGCTTTTTGAAACGTGTGGTAGGCTTCTGAGTACAATGGGAGAACATGATCGCATGACCTGATAACTTCAATGGTGTAGTTTGAGAACATGGTATGACTTTAGGGGGAGAATTGCAGTCCCTGGGCTTATTCCTGCTCAGCTAGGAAGTGCTGTGGGATTTTTTTTTTGTGTGTCTAAGCAGCAGGTGAGGTATAAAAGGTAAGTAGCACAATCCTTATGCTTAAAAGCATACACTGCTGCTTAATTGCCTTTTCAAAAAGTTGTACTTGTTAGGAAGAGACACATTAATGACAGAAAATCTGTAGTCAACTTTTGGGTGAGAACTGTGCTAATACTAAGTTCTTAGCGATCTCTGCTGCAGGAGTTTGAGAAGAAATACAGTCCCACTTGGCAGTGCATTGTAGGAAGGAAATTTGGCAGCTGTGTGTCTCATGAGACCAAACACTTCATCTTCTTCCTCATGTGTGGAGTAAATATTCTTCTGTTTAAAGCTGGTTAGAGCTGTGGATCGTTGTTCAGTTGCTTGTGCTTACAGGACTGCACACTAACGGCCGCAGCTTAGTGCCTTCAGCCTTCCCGAAGAAGCAGATCTTGGTCTTCAGGGGTAACGTCAGGGATTTTTCTGGAGTGGTTGGTGGTTTTGTTGTGTTTAGAGGAAAAAAAGAAAAAAAAGAAAAAAAAAAAAAGCCTTGTATTTATTTTCTTTCCAAAGTCGTGTTCTTTGCTAATAAAAATGTTACGCGTGTTCCATCTTTAAGTTTTATGGCTGTTTTTCTCTCTTTCCCTAAGATTGCCTGTGCTCCTCCTCATTTCCCTGTGAACAACCACCCTT